TTGTGCTGGTATGTACTCTGGGCCAGAGGGCAGATTTTAACGGCAGCGTTATGACTTCAAGGTCTTTGAACAAAGAGAAGTCAGGAGGCTCTTTGTTGTCTTTACAGGTGCAAACAGATTTAATGGAGTCAGCAGGTCAGGAAGCGGGTTGTGGAAATACACACATAAATACATGCATCTACAACAACATGAAAACATAAATCTGAATGTCACCATAATACGAGGGTCCTGTTGTGTTCACTCGTGCGGTATTACATTTCCTGTTTGTGTTTGTCTGTGTGTGTGTGTGTGTGTGTGTGTCTGTCAGCTTTACCCCCCAACGTCTCGTTAATTGATTTCCATCAGAAACCGGATAGCTGTAAACAATATCTGTATTTAAAAAAAAAAAAAAGAAAAGGTGGATGTCTCCTGCTGCCATATAATTTTACACATATTTGATTACACAAGAGGCGAAGACTTGTATCACCGTGGGCGTCAGAGGTTACTCCAGGCCAGACGGGGGATGGTCACACGACCTTTTTTCAAAACAGTATTTTCCTTTGAGCTTTCACCAGGAAATGGATTACAAGTGAAAAAACCCCCAAAAAACCCTGCTAATTTACAACTGTATTTTCTATAGTTAGCTTGTGGTTTATAAGGAATAATGACGAGATAAAGAGACCGCAAGTCTATCGCTTTGTTTTATCAACATGTGCATGTGTGATAGTGGTGGCGTGACTGACTAGAGGTATGTGTGCGTGTGTGTGTGTGTGTGTGTGTGTGCGTGTGTGTGTGTAGGTTTCCGGCTGTCTCAGCTGTGCTTGTGTGATTTCTGTTTCTTGTGCTTCTTCTTTTTCTTCTCCTGCCTGTTGAGGCTGTTGCTATGACGCCTCCTCTTGGTTTTACACTCGCTGCTGCTGTCGCTGTCTGACTCCTTTCTCTCCCTCTTCTTCTTCTTCTTCATTTTCTTTTCCTGAAGAACAGACACATAAGTATAAATTTGTAATTCGAGAGGTATTTATACCCTTGTTACAAAAACATCACGGAATTTATTTTATTAAACTGATAAATCAGCTCATATTAGCTCTCAGTTTTGAAGTAGAAGGGGGGAAAAAATGACGTGGTTCACAACATTTTTAACAAAAAAATATATGAAAAGTGTTGCAGATTTTGATTGCTAAATGTGCAAAGCAGGCATACCATAAAATGATTTGCAGCTGTAACTGGAAATGTCGTTCCACAAGTATTACTGCAGCGGAGCTGGAAACAAATGCATGCTGCGATTTCTTTTTCTAAAAGATCCTATCATTTTCCTGTTACTTCACATTTAGGAAACACTCAAAATCACAACGAAGCCCATCAAGGCTTGTGGTTGTAATTTGTCAAAAAGTGACAAAGTCCAAAGAGCCTCGAGGAGTTCCTCAAGGCACCGTGAAAGGAAATCTGAACGTTGAGGCTGCAGATACGTACAGAAAACTGACAGCAGTTTCATTACCTCAAAACTGGGTCACACAGCTTTTCTGTCAAAGCAGCATAAAACAGGAGCTGTCATGATGCTCCTGCCACGTCGGATCACATGAGCCGTCAGACGGCCGACGTGAGAAACATCGGAGGAGTAAACAGGAAGAGAGAGCAGGGGCAGGTGTTGTTTAGTTTAACGTTTTCACCTTCTTTTTCTTCTTTTTGTCCGAGTCCTGCGGTGGCCTGATTGTGGCTGTCTGCTGCTGCTGCTGCTGCTGCTGTGCCTCTGCATCGTCCTCTTCAGGCACGAGAGCGTACTGCAAGCCCGGAGCTGAGAAACAGTCCTTTGTGAAGTGACCTGAAAGGAGTCTCGAGTTAACTGAAACTGACTTTGAACAACTTCGACATGAGGCAGCTGCTGTCTGAAAAATATTTTTTTTTCACGATTTGATTCTTCCTTTTACAAGTTCTAGTCGTGCTGGAGCACCTTTACAGCCGCACTTTGAACACGTCGTGTTGAGCACGGCCTCCAGGGTGATCCTGTTGCTTGTGTGATCTCTGAACTGCTTCCTGCGCCTCGCATCCTGACTGCAAACACAAACAGAGGAAAATAACACGCTCCTTTGCAAAAACACACACACACACACATGAAACACATAACACTGCAAGCACTTACTCTGCCATAACATTGTTGGGGTCCAAGTCTTGTCCTGTCCCCTGGTTTACAGCCTTCATGGAGAAGGACATCTTCACCTTGTCACCTTGAATCTGACAGACAGGGTCGTACTGCGGTGACGCTGGATTTACATTCCACACCTGCGTGTGGGATTGTGCTATTTTTGTGTGTCGTTACCTCGCGCCCGATGACTTTGATCCACACGTGTTCTCCAACATCCACAATCTCGGAGGCATTTTCAACTCTGGTTGCAGACATCTCACTCACGTGAACCAAACCTGTTCATAGTGGAGTTACAGCACTTTTTTTTCTTTTCTTTTTTTTTTTTTATAAAGATGTCACACAAAAATAACTTGCAGGATGAAAACATACCATTTTGAGATGTTTATAGCCACACATCACAGCCAAGAATGTCATATTAATTTTAGGCTTTTATTCCATTCACTCAGCTATCCGGACACGAGGAGTCCAGCTACTTTAAAGTCAAGGTCCTGTGTGTAAATGTGAACAAGTGATGCTTTTTCATGTGATTAAATTAATAAAAATTAAATTCAATTTAATTAAATGTGTGTTCTATTTTTGTCCCTCTTGGGCTTTATTTAACTTTTCTCCAAAACCAAACTTTTGCTGAGTGTGCCCTCTAGCGGTGAAAGCATTATCAATTTTCCAAAGTGGCCAGTGATAAGGCATCATCACATGCGTAACTCGTAGGCTAAATATAGATTTCAGATGACCTGCTTCACACAGCTCTCATATTTCTTGAGTATGCTTATATTGTCTCCCTCCTTATGCTTTCCGTAATACATTAGGTGTGTGTTCCTTTTTAAACATATATAATCAGCACATAAGCGTAGATTAGTGGAACATAATCATATTTTTTCTTGAAAGGGGAGCATAAGTTATGCATGATATGAATGAAATTGGATTGTGTTAACATAAAGCAACATTGTCCCATAGAAGTTTCTCCCTAAGCAGACAAGATTCTGAAGAATGGTTTGCCCATCATTTGAGAGCACTCTGGTTTATTTTAGTGATTCACCTCCTCAGTTATGCTAACCTAAAATCTTAAATCTGTCTTTGTCTGTAACATTTTTTCCCCTGTTATGATTCTTTACTTTAAATTGCCTCTGCAAGCCCTTTTTACCAACCTTCCTTCTTGTAACCTGGCAGTCGAACAAAGGCTCCGTAGCTTTGCACAGAGACCACCTCTCCTTTGGCAATACTGTGCAGCGGTGGCAGACCATCCAATCCGGCCGGCTCACGACCATGTCCACCTCGATCAGACATTATCCCAACTAGGGGTGGGTCACCACTGTCTAATGGTAGATCTGGTCGACAGATAATTAAACAGATATTAGAATTTGCAGCATCATTAAAAGTGAGGGAGGAAAATATATAAAGTAACAGAAGGCACAGTGAGTAGAGAGGTCTACTTTTTCTCAGCTTTGAAATAAAATAAAACATTTACACCAGTTAAAAAATGCATAAAGTATTAAAATAAGTTTATTATTATTATTATTATTATTATTATTATTATTATTATTATTATTCCAGCAGAATATTCTGAAACCCAAAATTTCGGAACATTTATTTACTCAGTAATCAAATAAAATACGCAATAACTAAAGCAAAGCATTATCATTACTTATGCAATATATATATATATATATATATATATATATATATATATATATATATATATATATATATATATATTATGTTTATCTGTGTCAAACTTTTAATTTGTAATCATGACTTCCTGTTTTCCTGGGCTACAAATAAGACCCGAAACAGAAGCACATTTCAAAATGGGAAATAAACAAGAACATACCATTCTACTATGGATAAGGTATGTTGATCTTAATAAGATAGAGGAATAAAACTTATAGCTGAAAATTACAGATAATTACAAATGTTTGAACGGTGACAGACAAGGTTGGAAGAGGACCAAATGTTGTCTTGTAAGCACACATTTTGAACAGGATATTAAGGAAGATAAAGAAAAATATCCAAAGGTCCCAAATTTAGACGCATCATCTCATGTGTAAACATGGTAGTGGCAACATCATGCTGTGGAGGTGCTTTTCTTCAGCAGGGACATAGAAAGCTGTCCTGAGTTGATAGGAAGATTGACAGAGCTACATAAAGGTGAATCCTTGATGAAAATCTGTTCTTCCAGATTCACCTTCAGGCAGAATACTGAACTTAAACATATTACAATGAAATGGAATAGATAAAAACGCATGCAGATAAAACGCAGCTCTAAGTCCAATTGAGCTACTGTGGATAGACTTGAAAATTATGTTTACAAACGCTCTCTGTCCAATCTGACTGGGCTTCTGTTATTTTGAAAGGAGCAATAACCGAAAACTACCGAAAATCAAAGCATACCCAAAAGGAGTATACAATCAGTAAAACCCTTTAAAAACAACGTATTATGTATCATATAAAACCCAAATAAAATACGTCGAAATTTATGATTCTAAACGGAGTAAATTTTAAATGCTGCTGGACGATGGATTTCAGACAGTAAAACGAAATAATAACCGATGGAACACACTGTTTACATTATGTCAAGTAACACAGAAGCGGGAAGTATCACATAAATGTTTAAATACCTCACATTCATATATTCAGTCTTATCAAGCTAATACTTCATGCAGATTTATGATTATTAAAGAAGGAACAGTGCTAACTTGGACAATAAGGCTAGAAAAATATAAGTCAATGCTGTACCTTTCGTGTTAATAGAACAGTGAATGTTTTACATCCGGTGTAAAACCCTACGCAAGAAGCAGAATAGCCAATCATCGCATCCGGCTCAACCTTTGACCAATAACAAGCCTTCTATCTAGCGGAAGTATTTCCAAGTTCCGTCTTCTCCGTTGTTGCTGCTTCCGTCGACATTTTTTTTAGTTCTACAAAGTCCATTCATTTTCTTGGACAAACTGTAGCCTTGTTTTAAGGGATTTTCTGCTCTTTTTCGGCTGTTCCGGGATGATTGAGCCTTTGAAGAGAGCCGGCGACATGGCGGTGGTTCCCTCCGCCATGAAGCGGCCCCGGATGGAGCTGGTGGCGGCGGCTCAGTCCCAGCAGCTCGTGGCAGCGGTACGAACCATAGCTGCTGCTGCGTCCTCATATCTGCTTCTTTTACATAAATGATACTTGCATTAGCTTTTCATAGGGTGATTTAAAAGCAGTTACTGAACACAGAGATTGTTTAAAAATAAATTATATAGAAGATGACTGGTTAGTTAAGCAGGAAAATATCTAAAACAAAAATACATCGATGTGTTTGATCTAAACTGTTCAGTTGTATGCCTTAAATGTCACACATGCGACATGATTAATCATGATCATTAATCATGATCAGCTGGATATTGACTATCACCCTAAGCAGTAATAATCTGTTATAAAGCGTGTCTTTACATAATTCAAGTCTTACAGAATTTTAAAGTCAATCAGACTTTAAAACTGTTCTAGGGAACCACTAAGTCTGCTTATGATTGCTCAATTAATGAGGTGATTTGCTTTTATCTAATGTATTATCTTCACTGAAACATTGTCAGTTTGCCTTCTTTGGAAATAATTTTTTTAATCAAAAGTACAGCAAAATGTCAGTACATCCTTTTTGTGTTTGCATCATAATGAATTAGACGCGTGTGATGCAGAAACCATAAATGTTTGTGCTCCCGTAGGGCCCTCCACGGACCTCCAGCCTGCAGGCCCCCATCATGCTGATGTCAGGCCACGAGGGTGAGGTCTACTGCTGCAAGTTTCACCCCAACGGAGCCACGCTGGCCTCCTCAGGATTTGACAGGCTCATACGTGAGTAACTGCCAAAAGTTAAACTCCTTCAACCAGTGGACCAGAGCGCGGCGGCCGACGGACCACTGTTCCTGTCAATAACATATTGTTTGCTTTGTGACGTTGCTGCAGTGATGTGGAACGTCTATGGAGACTGCGAAAACTTCGCCACCCTGAAGGGCCACAGTGGAGCAGTGATGGAGCTGCATTACAACACAGATGGCAGGTGTGGGCAGCTGTCAGAGATGGTTATTCCAATCTCTTATTTGTTTTTGTTTTTTTTATTTTAGAGAAATGTTTGCTGTAAACGTTTATAAATTCCTCTTTTGGCAGTGATATGTTTTTATGTATTTCAGCTTGTTGTTCTCGGCGAGCACAGACAAGACCGTGGGCGTGTGGGACAGCGAGACCGGTGAGAGGATCAAGCGTCTGAAGGGCCACACCTCTTTTGTTAACACCTGCTATCCGGCTCGTCGGGGGCCCCAGCTAGTGTGCACTGGCAGTGATGATGGGACAGTGAAGGTGGGTGTTTAAATAATCCATGTGACAGCTCAGTTGCTTTCTATTGAAATGAAATGCATACCCGACCACATTTTTGCACTTTAAAGTCGGTCATAAATTAAATGCGAGTGCTTTTTGTTGCATAACAGCTTTGGGACATCCGCAAAAAAGGGGCCATCCACACTTTTCAGAACACATACCAGGTGCTGGCCGTGACGTTTAATGACACCAGCGATCAGATTCTGTCTGGAGGCATCGACAATGACATCAAGGTACTAAAATCAAAGATATTAAACAATCCTAAACATGGCTGCACTGACAATTAAACATTCAGTATTAACGATAAAAAGTAATGCATTTTTAATTTTTTTTTTTTTTTTTTTTTTTTTTTTTTTTTTTATATTCTATTTTATGGATAAAGATATTAAAGTGGGGTAGACCAAAAAATCAGGTTTTTC